AAGGTGTCAGTGATAGTTTGTTTGAAATTTGTTGTAACTGTTGTCATTTTCGATACTTTACTACACGTGTAACAAAATACAGAATAGTAGCTGCCTAAGGATACTGCTAATTAAGAAAAAGTCAAATTCTTCTTTAAAAGTAGGGATCTAACACTATTGTTGAGATCCATGTATTTTTTTCCTGTGAACTCTTGTAATTTCCAAATGCATCCATAATCTTGGGGTGCTTTTTGCAGTCTTTTAACAGTACTGTCCTTTACTTATAATCACCTTGAATAGTGTCTTTCTTTGCTAATTCTGTTGTCTGCTGCAGGTGGGTTGGATGAGACTCTACACAACATCATCGACTGTGCCTGTGAACAGAATATCCCATTTGTTTTTGCCCTTAATCGCAAGGCCCTAGGCCGCTGTGTGAACAAAGCAGTGCCTGTGAGTGTGGTCGGAATTTTTAGCTATGATGGGGCTCAGGTAAGCTGAAATACGTACATTTGTGTTTCTGTTTAGCTTTACTTTAGACCTGTAAGGGGAAAAAAAAATACCTTGACTGTAAGGTTTTGTTTGTTTTACTTTTTCTTACTTAAACTCTTTATCCCAGGTCAGTGGCTTACACAAAAAATTAATTTTAGAAGTACAGCCACTCATCTCTGTTCAAAAAAGTAGTTTGGCTGTCTCTTCTTGACATCTCCATCTAGATCTCTTTCCAAATTTTTTTTTTTTTTTCAAGAGAATGGGTGTATTTATAAATGCTTCTATATAGTTTGGGTTTTGTGTCTTTATACATCTTTTGCTTGGTGATATGGTTTAGGGGTGTTCTTGGTAGAGTAGGGTTGATGGTTGGACTCGATGATCTCAAAGGTCTTTTCCAAGCTGAATGATTCCATGATTCTATACTTAGCTGCTCAGCTTTTTTATATATGAACATGTATGCTCTGAATAAGGAATATTAATTACAGATTTTCATGGAGATGTTAAAACTTACTCAATGATTTAAGCTCTACTAATATTTTATATTTCTATAGGACCATTTTCACAGAATGGTACAACTGACAACAGAGGCCAGGAAGGCCTACAAAGATATGATAGCAACTTTAGAGGAAGAAGCTAAAGGAGGACTAAGAGAAACCCAACCCAGCATTTTAACCACTGAATATGAAAAAAATGGCTTATCAGAAACTGGTAAAACATCTTCCAAGGACTCTGATGAAGATGTACCAAATTATAGTGAGTATTTACTGACTGGTTCAGTTTTCGTTCAAAGTGCTCTTCAATTCTACGATTTTCACTGAAACAAATAACACCTGACACTTTAGTGGTTAGTAAGGAGGAAAATTCTGCTTTTCTGTGATTTCCCCCTGCCCCCCTAATTTTATAAACCTGAGGTCACCTCTTGCTGAGAAAGTCTTAGAGAAAATTCTCTGAAATCCACTGATGGCAGGCGGTACTCATTGCTTTGTCCAAGGAGCTTTAACAGTGTTCCTTTTTATTTCTATTTGTTTAAAAATCCTCTTTTTTTTCTAGACATGCATACTTTAACTATGGTAGACTTAAGCTTTGTTTTGAAGCTTGTTTGACGTGCGTCTTCCTGTCTGAAAAGTGTTCCTGTTTTGTAAAGGCCTTCCCCTTCTAGAAACCCATTCCTCCTGTATGGCTCTGCACATACAGTTGCCAGACAACAGCAGTTACCACAGATACTAGGCAACTTAAAACTTCTCTGAAAGTTTTGAAAACAACTAAGTTTTATTTTAAAGTTGTATCCACTTTCAGAGTTAGCCTTGCTTGAGTAGGAGGATGGACACAAGGACCTCAATGGATGCCATTACTCCTAAAGTATTTTCATGTGTCATCTGATGTCTTAAGGTGTACATGCCAACGTGGCCATGTGCTCAACTTATCTCAGCACTTGAGGAAGAAGTGGAGAACCAGTGTGACTTTCATTTTACGTTTTTCCTCAAGTATTATTATCAAGTATTATTATCAAGTATCAAGTATATATATTATCAAGTAACCTGTTCGTTGTGTTTTGTTTTTTGTTTGTTTGTTTTTCTTTTATTCTAATATTCCCTAGTTAAAATCTGGAAGAGAAAACTTGAAGAAGAGTATAACCCATATGCACTGGAACTGGAAAAGGGTGCAACTGCTGATGTGGTGACAGTGAATTCAGAAGAGCATCAGTAAATCCAGATCCAATTCCATCGCGCTTTTAATTATTTTTTTTGACCAGTAGGAGGAAGGTAGCAAAACAAAATAATTTAAAGAAATATCTGAAGTCAGCTAAGTAAACTGTTCTGAATCCCTTTAAGCAAAATACACACTGGAGCACGGAAGGCATGGGCTAATGGTTTTACGTTCTATGTATTTCACAGAATCATAGAATAGTTTGGGTTGGAAGGGACCTTGGCTGATTACTATAGCAGATGACAACAGCAAATTGTCTTAGCCCAGAACCACTTGAACTGGCTTGGCATATTTTAATGGTTTTATGGACAAGCAATGATTTGTTAGTGATACAATATACCAAAAGAAATTGGTAGACAGATAATTCTGTTTGGGAAGAGATTCTGTGAGCCAGAAGGTTGGGGCTTGTGTGGAATGCTTTTTATTTTTAACTCTTGTTTAAAGAACTTCAACTGTTTTTTGATTGTGAGTTTGGGTTTCTTTTTTTCTCATAAATAAATGTGCTCAGGTGGGCAGGCTGGCATCAATACCACTTTCTTCCAGTCATCAAGAAATTAATTTCATTCAGGCATCTTGATTGAAACTAATTAACAAAGGCCATGATGACAAAATTCCCCGTTAGCTATTCTGTCTGATACTTTATTCTTCTGGAATCATATAGCAGGTGTAAGGGAGAGAGCATGGACTACAAAGGTCTGAAGTTCCTGAAGTGAAAATGCCATTTGGAAATTTTATAAAAGTTGATTAAGTGTACAATGATGATGTTTCTGCTGTTACTGAGACTAGATTATCATAGGTCCTGCTTTGAAGTCAGAAGCAATTGAAGGACAGCGAATGTGCCAGCCTGCTCTTGTATTTATACATTCTCCATGCTGACAGGCTCCTCATTCCTTCAGTTTGGGGTTGTGTTCTTATATATGTAAGAGTTTTTGATCAATCTCCATTTGTATATAAGGTGGGGAAGATTTATATCTTACAGGAAATAAAATTTTAAGAACAAAATGTGCTCATAATGGTGGTGGAGCTCCTTCGTGGGACTGTCTTCTGTAAATATCATTGTTTATAAGTTGCAGACATAGGAGGACAAGCCTAAAGAAAGTAACTGCAAGCATCTCTGAGGTGTGTCTGTAAGTGCTCCACTACATTGAAGATTTGTAGTGCAACACTTGGGAAAGTAAAACTGCCTTGTCAAGTTATAAGTGGTATAAAAAAATTAAATAATTTTGAAATTCAAACAATTTTGTAGAATATAAATTGTATACAAACTGTTATGATATATTGATTCTATACATTATGGTTGTGACTTAAGTAAACTCTTCTGGTGGACATTTAATGATACTTGAAATGTCAGTTTTGAGGAAGAACACTGGTAAGGGAAGCCAGCCTTAAGCTGAAATGCACAGTTGGTTGCTAGCTACAAGGATGATATTTTTGCATTAGTTTCTAGTAATCTAAAATGGAAATTGAAGGTGAAAGATCGCAGTTATGAAAGATGGTTTTGGCCTGCAGATGTCCTTGATCTAGAGGTAAGTTGTGATTTATTCATACTTGGGCCACTTTGATACACACCTAAAACTGCTAAACCTAGTCCGCATGGAATGGGGCCTAATTGGTGAAGATCACATTAACAGCTGCGCTTTTTTTTTAAACCATATTTTCTATTTTGTCTTACTGCAGAAGAGCATGAAAAGTTACTTTGGAAACATTGTATGTTGTTCAAAATCTCAGGGAGTTACTTCCTGTTCTTAGAATTACCAAAAAAAAAAAAAATCACTGTGTTACAGCTGTGTTCAGTAATTCTGTTACACAGATGTTTTTTCACAAAGCTGAGCTATACAAAAAAATCTGGCAATCTTTTTTTATTCCTTGCAGTACTTTACTGCAGAACAAGGCAAAGCTCAGTTGTGCTCATCTAAAACTCTGACCTCAATTTTAGTCTTACCTTCCCACTCAGCACTTGAGAACTAAACTTAAGTCTGCTCCAAATCTATTGAACAATAGAGGGACAATTCAAGAAAGTCTTTTATAGTTGTCCCTTAGCCATAAAAGATGTCCTAAGCAAAACACAATGGGTAAAAAATTCCCTCTGAACATTGGTGTCAGAAGTCTTCATCAGTATTATTTTATGTTTGTCAATGTGAAAAATAAGGAAAATGGTTTGTATATAAGAATTTTCACACTGCATGTGTGACCACAAGGTGGTCTGGTATTGGAAAAAAAAAAAAAGAAAAAGTGTCATTCAGGAAAGTCTTCAAGTGAGGAGAATGCTTTCTTCAATGTGGAAACAATCTAATTTACATCTTACCAGTTAGGGGATAATTTAGGGATAAGTATGAAGCTTTCTGCACTTTCTCCTACTCAGTGCTAGGAGTAGCTGTCCCTACGGACTCAAGCTATAATGATTCTTGGGTGGCATCTTACTTGCTTTGGGATTGTTGAAAACCATTGAGAAGACAGAAAACTTGAATTATGCCTCAGACTTTTGTTTATTAGATGCAGAAGAACGAAACTCTGAATAGCAATGCAGTAGAACAATTTCACTATGGATTAAGTAGGTCCTCACATTTTCAATCTGCAGTTATTCACTAGGAATAGCCTTGGAATTTATTCAACATAGAATTTAAAGCTACCACAGTTACCTTAAATATAGAAGAATAATTTGCAAAAACTAAAGAGTCTGCTTTAACTTGGATGCTTTGTAATCTGTTTGTATTTTGAGCATTAATCAGAAGTTCTTTATTTGGTACAGAAACTTTATTACCAAAGGAAATGGGTTTGAACAGATGAACTTGCTGATACCAGGAAGGAATGCTCTTCAAAATACTGGGAACAGAGTATAAGGGTAAACATATTAAAGGAAAATAAATGGGTAGGTTGAAGTGCCTTTAAATAAATGTGATCCACATCTTATTATTAATTTCTAAATCACCTGCCAGGACCCTCAAGCCCAAAATTAACTGGTTTACTTAATGAGCTCAAAACAGAAGCCATACATTACATGATATTGTTTGAGCAGCACAAGTCTTACTGAGACCACTTTTGTTCTTCATTAAGCTGAAATAACTGGCATCAGAAAACCAGAGACAGTTCCAGCATGGGATGGGTGGCCTTTTTTGTAGCACGTAACTTGGGTGTTCTTTGGTGCAGTAAGGATATCCTCTCCCACCTCAACTTCACATGATTCTCCTGAATATCAGTTTTAATGCCAGCACTAGCACTCACAAATACCTCTTTGAGTGCTGTGGTATTAAGAGTATGCAAGTTACAGTAACCAGTACATTTGTCCTTCTAGCCTGTTCATTCCTTTGTCCATTAGAGGCTGTTTTTCTTGTTGCAGCTTTCCTGAAGGAAAAAAAAAGTTCAGAATGATGTGTTAATATTGCTTTAAAAATTTAAGCTAAGTTTAAAGTTTATCTATACTGTCTGTTTCATCTGCAACATGCATGTGTCATATCCAAAAGTAATCTTTGTTGTAGCTGTTAGAGAAAAACATTAAAAGCCAAGTATGAGCTTTTGTAAAGGAAGGCTAGCTTTGATGGACAGTACCATTGTTGAAGTCCAGTAGTCTCTGCAATCCAATTAGTCTACAGCTGTGATTACTGAATATAGATTAAATTATACACAGACTTACTGTTTTGGGCAGGATGAGAACTACTGACTGATTAGCACTTGGTTAGTGGACTGAAGGAGCAAGCTGACATAACTGTAATGTGTGTCATAGATGGAGCAGGTCTCACTGCTAAGAGGGTCAAGAATGGTGACATGTAGAGGAATACTAATCATTTTGTTACATAAATACATTTGGCTGCAGAAGTGTCACAGGCTGTTTATAAAACCAAGACTGTAGTGTGTCATGTAGAAAGCACTGTAGGAGATACGTTTTCCAAAAACTCTTACCCACGTTTTCTTCCAGTTTTGCATCATCTTGTCATGTTCACTGATGGCACTTCTCCAGGAGTCAAATTCTTTGGTCCATCCCTCCTGACCAGCACTACCTGAGAATTGTACATGGGGTGGTTACAAAACTATGTAATGATGAAGGAAACTGATAGCTGTTCTGCTGTGGTACTGCCTGTGGAGGATTGGGCTAGAAAGAACAAAAGCCACCATCTTGTCCTTCCTTCATTTTGCTCTACCTCCTCAACTTACTTGGAAATAAGTTCTATGCAAATGGTCATGTCTCCTCCCCTCTGCAGCAAACTTTATAGCCTCCAGAGTAAACAGAGTCAGTGCCTTTCCCTCTGATTCAAGGTCTAGAAAATACAACCTACAAGTCAGAGTTCAAACCCATCTAAGCAGCACAGGAATGCTCCAGTTAGATCATACCAAGCCTGGGGAAAAGAATATGATAGAGCTGGCTGTATCCAGTGTGTAATTTCCCCATTTTTCGGTAATGTTATGTAGTTAGTTATCTTCATTCCATTAAGAACTTCAAAAGGGCTACTTTCCTTCATCTTGATAAAATTCTAGTTCTAATTCTGTCTGCCAGTTTTTCTTGCAGAATGTAACCCTGATGGTGACATACACAGGTGTAGTATTTCTCTATTTATCCTTTGGGACACTAGTAGCAACAGTATATAATGCTTTTGGAGCACAGGGGAAGCCTCCCTCTGTTTTACATTTACAGTAGTTTCATTGATATGCTCTTCATTCTGCTTCCAAAACAGATTTCAAAGTAACTGGAGTGATGGCAAGACAACTTGTGTAACTACTTCTTTTCTCTGACACTGAAAAAAGTGGGCTTGAGCTGTTCTTGACAAATTCATGATTGTTACTAACAGCTAATTAATTTTTCCTTCACCCTGACAAGAAAATCCATGCTATGTAATGCTTCTCCTGTCTTTTCAAAGACTAGTCAGACCTTCTCCAGGCCTCGGTAAGTTTTCAAAAGCTAGTTGCAAATGAAGCTCAAGTTGCATCAGTCAGTTGTGGGTACCCAGAGATGGTGTGCAGCTGCTGAAGCTAACTGACTGACCTCCTGCCCAGTTAGCATCCCAGTG